AGAGGTACAGGTGCTGCTGGAGGTGCTGGAGGTTCAGGTTTTGGAGGTGCTAGCCCTGGAGGTGCTGGTGCTGGTGTTCCTGGTACTGGAGGCACAGGCGCTGCTGGAGGTGCTGGAGGTGCAGGTACTGCTGGAGGTGCTGGAGGTGCTGACACTGGAGGTCCTGCTGGAGGTACTACTGGAGGTGCTGTTGGAGGTACTGGTGTTCGTGGTGCTAGTCGGCATGAGTCGCTCTCGCCGCTGCAGCTTCGCGAGTGGGCTGTTCGTTGGGGCAGTCCCGGTGGTGGAGCTGGGGGCACTGGTTCTGGGGGTGCTGTTGCTACTGGAGCTGGAGGCACTGGTTCTGGGGGTGCTGTTGCTACTGGAGCTGGAGGCACCGGTTCTGGGGGTGCTGTTGCTACTTGAGCGGGAGGTTCTGGGGGTGCAACTACTCAGCCGCAGCCGTCTGCGCTTAGTCGCCTTCTCAGTCTCCCGCCTGCTACTACTGAGTTCCCGGTTCCTGGTACTACTCCTCCACTACTGTTCCCACCCACTGACCAGTCTCAGCCACAGCTACTGCCTGGCTCCTCGCTGCCTGCTCCTGCTCCTCACACTGAGGTCACTGCGTCACTGACTGCGCGTCGTGAGCCTGAGACTCGTGCTTCCACTCCTGAGCGTCGTGAGCCTGAGACTCGTGCTTTCACACCTGTTCGAGGTCGTCGTGTTGTCTGTCCTCGTGCTCTAGCTGTGCCAGGCACTCACCGTATGGCACTTCGTCCTTCCTCTGTTCCACAGCGTGTTGTCCTGCCGTCTCCTCCTGCGTCTTCTCTTCCTCACGTTCCTGACCCTGAGTCAGACCTTGTCCATGCTGCCAGTCCGACTGTCACTCGTCTCCTTGCCACAGTTGTGACTGACCCCTCCTTTGAGTCTGCTGCTGCGTCTGCCTGAGTTGCTGAGCTTGTTGACTTTGCTGCTTTGTGCCGCCTTGACTACGCTGCGAGTCTTGTCTTTGACTCTTCCTGTCCTCCGTCCGTCGGGGGTGAGCTTGCCCTTGGCTGTGACGTTCTTGAGGACAGGCAGTTTGAGCTTGAGTGCCTCGTGGCCGCTGCACTGCATCTCGCGTCCTCGCTACATTGCCCTGAGGGAGACCCGGATGCACCAGACATCCCGACCCCACGCACTTACGCAGAGGCGATCACGGGTCCGTACTCCTCTCAGTGGCAGATAGCCATGGACGCAGAGATGGCTTCCTGGAAGTCCACAGGCACCTACGTTGACGAGGTTCCCCCACCTGGGGCGAACGTAGTCGATGGCATGTGGATTTTCAGGGTGAAGCGGCCGCCGGGTTCTCCGCCTGCCTTCAAGGCGCGTTACGTTGCTCGAGGCTTCAGTCAGCGTGAGGGGGTCGACTTCTTTCAGACCTTCTCCCCCACCCCAAAGATGACCACTCTTCGGGTGCTACTGCACGTTGCAGCACAGCGTGACTATGAGCTGCACTCCCTCGACTTCTCGACAGCCTTCTTGCAGGGTAGCCTTCACGAGGCTATCTGGTTGTGTCATCCACGTGGCTTCACTGGGTCGTTTCCTGAGGGTACCCAGTGGAGTCTTCGGCGACCAGTCTACGGCCTCTGACAGGCACCTCGCGAGTGGCACGACACTCTGAGGACTACACTTGCGGCTCTTGGCTTCGCTCCCTCGACTGCTGACCCTACGTTGTTTCTGCGCACAGACACTTCTCTGCCGCCGTTCTACGTTCTTGTATACGTTGACGACTTGGTTTTTGCTACTGCTAACACTGAGGCTCTGGCCTTGGTGAAGGCGGAGCTGCTGGAGAGACACACTTGCACTGACCTGGTTGAGATGCGGAGCTACCTTGGCTTGCAGATCACCCGGGACAGAGCACGCCACACCATCACCCTCACTCAGTCACACATGGTGCAGCAGATCCTTCAGCGCTTCGACTTCACGTGGTCCTCGCCACAACCCACTCCTCTGTCTACCGACCACTCGTTCTCAGCTCCACCTTTGGACGAGTCCGTAGATCCGAGTGGTCCGTACCCAGAGCTTGTGGGTTGCCTCATGTACTTGATGACGTGCACACGACCTGACCTCGCGTACCCTCTCAGTCTCCTGGCTCGCTACGTGGCTCCCGGTAGACATCGAATGATGCACTTGGATGCTGCGAAGAGGGTATTGCGTTACTTGTGCAGCACATCGGGCATGGGGCTCGTGCTTGGAGGACGGGGTCCAGTTGTTCTCACCGGCCACTCAGACGCTTCTTGGGGTGACGACCAGACGACTCACCGGTCGACACAAGGGTACAGTTTCAGCCTCGGCACTGGTTCTGTCTCGTGGAGGTCCACTCGCTCTTCCTCTGTACTTAGTTCAAGCTGTGAGGCCGAGATCTACGCTGGGGCTATGGCTGCACAGGAGCTCCGGTGGCTGACCTACCTGCTGACCGACTTGGGTGAGCAGCCTCGTTCTCCTCCAGTTCTGTACGTCAACAACAAGGCCATGATTGCCTTGTGTCAGGACCAGAGACTGGAGCACAGAACGAAGCACATTGCTCTCTGTTACTTCCTCACGCGAGAGCTGCAGCACCGTGGTCAGCTTCGTCTTGCTTACGTGGCCACTCGGGCCAACAATGCTGATGTTTTCACCAAGGCCCTTGGGTCTAGTGATCATCAGCGTTTCTGCACTGCTCTTGGGCTTGTGCCCACTCTACCTCACTTGCTTGTCTCTTGGATCTTGCTCTTGTTGTACACTGATATATATGAGTATACCTGCATGCTTACGCTTGTTAGGTTGTGATCAGTGTACTGCTCTTTGCCATTATAAACTCTGCATGTGAACTGGCCTTGTGGCCGCTTGCTTGTGCTCAGAATGTGTGGTGACCTTGTGATCCACCCTGAGCTTTGCTGTACTTGCTCTCTTGCTTGACTGGTCTTGTGACCGTCTGTTGTGTTTGCTATCCCCCACTTTGCTGATGGGGGTGTGTCAAATTGTATTTGTTTTGTAGGCTGTAGTGGGGCATACCCTAAAGGGTACAACACTTTAGGGTTAGGACTATACGATCCTGTACTGTCCTCATTCTAGTTCATTCTTACGTTCTGACAGTAACAGACCCCCTAACTGCCTGCAGTGAAGAACCTTGTGCACAACAGCCCTTGAAGGGGTGCACCAGTGTGCAGCGGAAGGAGAGCGCAAGTGAGGAGGAGGAGAGAGAGAGGGGAGAGGAGGAGGTGGGCGACGGCTGCAACTGCTGACGCACGGGCTACTGGAGCACTGGCTTGCGGGCACTGGAGTAACTCGTACGCCTGGAGCATCCCGCTCGTACAGCTAGAGCAACTGACTCACGGGCGACTGGAGCAATGGTGACTCACTGGCGACTGGCGCTGCTGGCTAAACGGCGGCCACCCCCTTCCAACCTCTCCAACCTCTCCCCCCCCCCCCTAAACCTCCCCCCCACAACGGTGGAGACGGTTGGATTAAGGAGAAGGCAAACGGAGGAGGAGGCGGCTGGAAATGGAGAGGAGAGAGGAGAAAAGGAGGAGCAATGAGGAGGAAAATGAGAAAGGAGGAGGAAAGGGCGGCAACTAGTGACTCGCTCTCGCCACCCCCTCAACCTTGTTCCCCCACCCCGGCAGGGAGAGAGAAGAGAGTGGAAAGGTGGAGGGGCGGCTGCCTTGTCATACCCGCCACCCCCACACCCTCCCCCTCCCCCCCCCACCCCACCCTCCCTGTTGCAGGCGCAACAGGGAGAGGGAGGAGTCGGGGGGGGGGGGGGGGGGGGGAGAGGGGGGGGTGCAGGCTGCTCACGGCGACCAACCCCTCATGCCACCCTGCCCGCTGGTGTGCACGCTGTCGTGCGTTGTGGTTTCCCGCTGGCAGCAGTTCCTGGCGTGCGCTGGCGGGCTGCGCGCTGGGCGCAGGTGACGGTGCGACTGTGTAGCGCCACTACCACCAGCTCCCCCCCCCCCCCCCTCCCCCTGTTGGAAATACAAAGATAAGAAAAACATATGCTGTTAGATTTTACTGTATTCCTCCTTATAAGACTCCAGGTCCTACAATAATTGTGCAATTATTGTAGGGACTGCATTATTGGAGCCTAGAGTTATTGGGGTAGAATTATTGGTACTCCTTTATTGGAGTTGCCATTATTGGTGGTACAATTATTGGAGTGGATGGGGTCATTCTGGAGAGGTAGCTGCAGGCATAAATGCCCTGCTGTGTGATGCCACAATTCAATCCATTGTTCAGAATCCTTTCAGTTGCAAGTTTCTCTTGCTACCTATTCTACAATCAAGCTTCCGCTACGTCGGCACTATGCCTTTCTAGCACCCCCAACACCCCGCCACGTGCAGGCGCGACTGCAGAAGGTGTTGCGACGGGGGGCAGCACGACCGGCGGGCGACGGGGGCAACGACGGGAAGGTGCGAAGGAGGTCACGCGAAGGGGCAGGCGACGGGGGGGCGCCCTCGCCCTAGCTCGCCGCCGCGACCTTTTCGACGGCCGCAGCCGTTGCGACCGTCGTAACTACGGCCTCGACGTGGGGGGGGGGGGTTGATATGCGCTGAGAGAGAAGCGCGAATGGGTGGGCCCGTGGGAAAACAAAATTGGCCTCTAGGAACGAGGGGCTCTTCGGTGAAGGAGCTTAAGAGGGAGGATTGAGAGAAGCGTGAGAAAGAGTGGCCAAAGAGGGGTTCACTATAAATTGGAGTACAAAATATAAGCAAGGAGAAAGACACATTGTATGTCAATGTCAAAGCTATGTTTATGTTATATCATACTTGCTGTAGTTAATGTAGTTATTGTTATAAAATGTTGGTGGTGCACCCTTTGCTTCTTGCCTATATGTACTCCAAACCCTATAGTGCAACACCTCTTTTGGCCAATTCCCTCCTGCTCGTGCCTCTCGTAACTCCTCCTATGGCTAAACCTAATCTCCTAGGTTAGTAGCTATGTTTGACATGGTGTCAGAGCTGGTCCCATCATGGAACCTTCCTGTCCTTTTAAGAGACATGGACCTTCTCGTCACGCAGCCGGATGCGCCCCGCGCGCAGCTCGTTTTGCCCCGCGCGCAGCACGTTTTGCCCCACGCGCAGCCCGTCTTGCCCGCGCGCGGCCCGTCCCGCCCGTCGCATTCGTCGCCCGTCGCGCCCCGCGCTCTGCCCGTCCCGTCCCCTGCTCGTCGCACCCGTCGCCCTGCCCGTTGTAAGCGCCAGCGCCAGCGCGAACCGCCAGCGCCAGCGACAGCACCTGCGACTGCCGCCAGCGCCAGCGACTAGCGGCCGGCGCCAGCGCGTGCGCCAGCACCTGCGCCAGCCGCGAAGCGCCAGCGCCTGCGTCATCCGCGAGCGCCAGCACCTGCGCCAACGCCAGCAGCTCCGTACGCCGCCCCCCCCCTTCCCTTCGGCGGCTTCTGCCGTGGGGGGGGGGGGAGATGAGGGGGTGGCGGGGGGGGTGATGATGTCAGAATAGTGGCATAAGTAGGTAGTTGGGTTTAAGTGGGCCTAGGCTTAGTAGCCTAGGCCAAGGGAGTCGAGCTAGTTTGTGCCAAGGAGAGAGAGTCGAGAAATGAGAGGGGAATGATGTTCACTATAGCACTAAGGTACATATAGCAAACAAAGAGGTGCACCACCTATAAAGTTAATATCTACACTACAGCTAGAACTACATGCAGGTATAAGAATATAATTCTGACATCCCCCCGTAACTGCATGCAGGAATAGCTAAGTGCAGAACACAACCTGCAGGGGTACACCACAGACAGAGAAAACAGCAACAGCAGGCAAGGCAACAGAGCAGGTACAGCAGCAAAGGGGCAGGCACTCCTGCCACCCCTTTACTCTCCTCCCCCCCCCCCCCAAACTTCAGGAGGGGCGGTAGGGAGAGAGAGGAGGCGGGCTGGCGCTGGCTGGTCACCCCCTCCATCCCTTCACCCTCCCCCCCTCCCCTCCCTCCCCGCACTGCTGCAGGAGCAGCAGAGGGGGGGGGGAGAGAGGAGAGGTGGGGGGACGGCGGCTGGTTGGTCTCACACCCGCCACCCCAGTGCCACTCCCCTGGCTCCCCCACACCCTCACACCCTTCCCCCCAGCGGCAGCTGCAGCAGTGGGAACGAAAGGAGGAGGAGGGGAAGGGAAACACACCACCCATCACCCCCACTCCCGCCACCCCCATACCCTCCCCCCCACGGCTGCAGGGAGACGAAGGATGAGGGGGGGAGGGGGCGGGGATAAAGCCGCAGAGCGGCTACAGAGGGTCGGCGCGGGTAGGGCAGGGGCGGCTGCAGCGAGTGCAGGCACGGGGTGAGGTAGAGGCGCCGTCGCGGGCGCCAGGGGCGGCTGCAGCGAGTGCAGGCGCGGGGTGAGGTAGAGGCGCCGTTGCGGGCGCCAGGGGCGGGTCCGCAGCGGCTCAGGGCACCGTCGCGGGCGCCAGGGGCGGGTCCGCGGCGGCGCAGGGCACCGTCGCGGGCGCCAGGGGCGGGTCCGCGGCGGCGCAGGGCACCGTCGCGGGCGCCAGGGGCGGGTCCGCGGCGGCTCAGGGCACCGTCGCGGGAGCCAGGGGCGGGTCCGCGGCGGCTCAGGGCACCGTCGCGGGCGCCAGGGGCGGGTCCGCGGCGGCTCAGGGCACCGTCGCGGGCGCCAGGGGCGGGTCCACGGCGGCTCAGGGCACCGTCGCGGGCGCCAGGGGCGGGTCCGCGGCGGCTCAGGGCGCCGTCGCGGGCGCCAGGGGCGGGTCCGCGACGGGCAGAAAAAAACGTCACGCGCCACCCGGGCGCGGGACAGAACGAAAATCGCCACGCGCCCGAGGCGCGCGACCGGAAAAAACAGCAGCGGAAGCGTGAGGCTGGCCCACAGGCCAGGACTTAACCGTCTCTAATACCATGTCAGAATAGTGGCATAAGTAGGTAGTTGGGTTTAAGTGGGCCTAGGCTTAGTAGCCTAGACCAAGGGAGTCGAGCTAGTTTGTGCCAAGGAGAGAGAGTCGAGAAATGAGAGGGGAATTATGTTCACTATAGCACTAAGGTACATATAGCAAACAAAGAGGTGCACCACCTATAAAGTTAATATCTACACTAAAGCTAGAACTACATGCAGGTATAAGAATATAATTCTGACAGATGAGAGGGTGGCGGGTATGTGAAGGTGAAAGGAGGGTGAGGGTGAGAATTGACAGGACGGCAGATTCAGGGGGTGAGGTTAAAGGGGGGTGGTTGAGTTGAGTGCTGAAGGTTATTAAGAGGGATCGCAGGCATGGAGTTGGTACACTCATGCATGGCCCCCCACCTTCTCTCCTTTTCCCTCACTCCTCCCCCCCCCCTTTGTAAAAGGGGGTTCATAAGCGGGGACGTCGCGGCCTCCCGTTCCGTCCCGTCTCGCCGCGGCCACCCCCCACCTCCTCTCCTCATCCCTCTCTCTCTTACCTTCCCCTCAGTACTCCTCCCCGGATGA